ATAATCATCCAAAGTCCACAGTTACCCCGGGGTTCACTCTTGGTATTGTATATTCTGTGGGTTTAGATGAATATATAATGACATGTATCTGTCATTATAACATCATACGGAGTAGGGACACTTGGGTGGCTCAGTTGGTTAAGCATCTGACTCTTGGTTTAGGCTCAGGTCATGATCTCAGGTTTGTGAGTTTGAGCCCCATGCCAGGCTCTGCACTGACAGCGTGGAGTCTGCTTAAGATTCTCTCTTCTTCTGTCTCTACCCCTCCCCCGCTCATTCTCTCTTTCCCTCAAAATAAATAAACATTAAAAAACGGTTTAGAAAAATATATACAGAGTAGTCTCACTGCACTGAAATCCACTGTGTTCTGCCCTATTCATCTCCTCTTACCCCCTGCCACCACCCCTGGCAAACACTGATCTCTTGCCTCCATGTTTTAGTTACACTTAAAAGTTTAAAAAATGTTTATTTATTTATTTTGAGAGAGAGAGAGCACAAGCAGGGGAGGGGCGGGGGGGGGGGGGGGGGGGGGGGGGGAGAGAATCCCAAGCAGGCTTCTTGCTATTAGTACAGAGCCCGATGCAGCCCCATGAACCATGAGATCATGACCTGAACCGAAATCAAGAGTCAGAAGCTTAACCAACTGAGCCACACAGGTGCCCCTAGTTGTACTTAAATTTAATTTAAAAGAGTCGCTAGGAAGTAGCCTTTTTATGCTAATTTTTGAAACTGAACTTAAGATTTATGGAAAAGCCATTTCTCATGATTGGCTCTGACACACTCTAGTGAGGTTTCATTGTAATGTTCTCTCTGATTTTGTGTGTTTGAGATTTTCCATAATAAAAACTTTTTAAAAAATAAGCCAGATTGACATTAAAAACATTATTTCTGCCTGATTCTAACATAAATGTTACAGATTCATACTTTGAAAAAGCTTGTAAGTTAGGAATATTCATGTGTCTCTGCTCGTGAAGTCAAGGGCTGATGCAGAACGGATGGCTACTTCCAAATATCTTGGGTGTTTCTTGAACCTAATAAGATAACCATGCAGGAGTACACCCAGAATCCCATTGGCTCCTTGTGCAAGTGTGGCAGATGCTGTCAGTACACCATGACCTGTCCTCTTAGCACCTACCACTTCAAGGGCATGGCACCTTGTTTCCAATGTCGAACCTCTGTTAGACTCTACTAGACCTTCTCCCTTATTTAGAGACAGTTCTGCCTATACTAGTTAAGGGCAGACCTCAAGTGCTAGGGAATGAATGCTGCCTGTGAGCATCCCTCATCCAATGCCTAAAGGGAGCTGATGGATAAACTTCCTAGCTCTCTTCTCCTTCAGATTACTTAGTTCTGAGGCTCTTGTTCTACATTTTTATTTCCCAAATACCCCCCCGCCCATTTGGTTTTCCAAAGTGGCAACTTGCTAGAGAACATGTCCTTTATTAGCTTCCTCCTCTTCCCTGTCTCATCCTACTTCCCTACCAGTGTTCCTGGGATCACCTCTCAAATATGCTTCTTGTACCAGAATCCTTGTCTCAGGCTCTGCTTCTGTGAGAATTTAACCCAAGACAGCAAGATGTCAAGCTGAGAGACCTAGCCCTCAATCTGAAGAAAATTTTCACAAAGGATTTTGAAAAGATGTCCTGTAAACGAAGACAGTGTTTGGGTTAATATAAAATTTCCTCCCTCTTCAAAAATCATGGAGTAGGCTATACTTAAATCTACCCTTTGGAGCTGATGTAAATAGTTTGATGAGGATTGGGGCCAATGACCCCAATATTTAGGTAAAAATCTAAAGAATTCTTGAAATAAGAGATTTTTTATGGGATTAAAAGAATACCTTAGATAATTGATTGAATGGATTACAGTGGATGGAATTACATAATCCCAACTAAAAATGTGTCAGTGAATAAATATTCACAGTGAGGATTGTGAGACAGATTAAGTTGGAAATTTGGTTGGCAACCCTGTTAGAGAAGAATCAAAGCAAAATGCGAGGTCCTGTGTGATGAAATTCCGTATGAATGTGACACTTTTTTAAACCTACATTTTTAGTTGAATAGAATATTTTTAGCCGGTATCATTTGTAAATTTGCAAGCTAGTGTCATCAGAAATGCCAGACTCAGTGTATATAAGCTTTTTTTACTTTTGACTGCTATCTAGTTTTAGTATTAATAAAAACCTTGTTTTTACCACTTACCATAATTCCTTTATGGTATCTTGGATGTTATAAAGAACTTGGTAGGATTCCCAGGTTTGTCATTTAACTACTTGGGTTGATTATGGTGCCAATAAGCAGAATAGGGAGTAAGTGATAAAGATGTGGTTTGGCTGCATAATATTCCATTGTGTGTGTGTGTGTGTGTGTGTGTGTGTGTGTGTGTGTGTGTGTGTTTCACATCTTCCTTATCCATTCATCTATTGATGGATACTTAGGTTGCTTCCATATCTTGGCTATTGTAAATAATGCTGCGGTGAACATGGGGCACATATATCCTTTCAAATAAGTATTTTTTTTTCCATTGGGTAAGCAGTGAAATTAACTAGATCATATGGTGCTTCTGTTTTTAAGGTTTTGAAAAACATACTGTTTTCTACAGTGGCTGTACCAATTTGCATTCCCACCAACAGTGTATGAAGGTTCCTTTTTCTCCACATCCTCACCAACACTTGTTATTTCTTATGTTTTTGATTCTAGCTATTCTGACAGATGTGAGGTGGCATCTCATTGTGCTTTGGATTTGCATTTCCCTGATGATTAGTGATGCTGAGCATCTTTTCATGTGTCTGTTGGCCATCTTTAGGTCTTCTTTGGAAAAACGTCTATTTAGGTCCTTTGCCCATTTTTAAGTTGGGTTGAGGTTATCAGACAAAATGAATGAAAGGGAGTGGAAAATACAGGCTTCCAGTCATGGAACAAATAAGTCATGGGAATAAAAGGCACAGTATAAGGAACACAGTCAATGATATTGTAAGAGCATTGTATGGTGACAGATGGTAGCTACTTGTGAGTATAGCATAATGTTTAAACTTGTGGAATCACTGTGTTGTACACCTGAAACAAAAAAGAATTAAAGGAAATATCTGGATTGAGAATAGAAGAGACAACTTATAATTTAAGGCATCTGTGGACCATGGAGGAGGTGATGTCTGATAGGTGATGAGTACAATGTCCTATACATGGTTTACAAGAGCTAAATCTATCTGTTCCCTGCTTTATTGTCAAGCCACGCCCCCATCACAGACCATGCCTTCACCCACATCTGACACTCTCTGCTCTGGGTTTACACTGGCTATTGCCTCTGACTGAAACACCTTTTTGTATTCCTCCCCCACCGTCACCCAGACAACTCATGTTTGAACACCTTCTAAGACAGAGCACTCACAGCTCCACCCTTTTCTGCTGTGACTTTGGCATTAACTCAGTTTCCTGAGATAGTGGTGCTAATATAGGAACACCTCACTGGGCTATTAAAATTAATTATACATCTAAAGCACTTAAAACAGCATGGCACAAGAAGTGTTCTCCAAGTCTTTGCTCTTACTGTTAGGTGCTGTCTTACAAGAGAGCCCACATCATCTTCTGTTAAAAAAAATTCTTTTTTAAGATTTGTTGCAATAACAGTCTTACCAAATAGTGCTGATTTAAAACAATGAGTGTTCTGGTCTTTTCTAACTCTTATCACAAACAACTGTTTTAAATAATTTTTACCAGGCTTTCCCCTCCCATCCCTTTTAACCTGTAAGTTGTTTTTTTGTGTGTGAGTTGCCATAATCTGTATACTGCTTATCTTTTATGCCTGTGTTGTATCTCATTGTTTTAAGAATTTCCTGATATTTGAAGGGCACCTGGGTAGCTCAGTTGGTTAAGCCTCCGGTTTCAGCTTAGTTCATGATCTCATGGTTCCATGAGTTTGAGCCCTGCGTCAGGCTCTGTGCTGACAGCTTAGAGGCTGCTTCAGAATATCTGTCATCCTCTCTTTCTCTGCCCCTCCCCTGCACAAATGCACGTGCTCACTCTCTGTCTCTCAAAAATAAATATTTAAGGGTCACCTGGCTGTCTCAGTTGGTTAGGCGTCCAACTTTGGGCTCAGGTCATGATCTCGTGGTTCATGGGTTCGAGCCCAATGTCAGGCTCTGTGCTGACAGCTCCAATTCTTTGTTATTTTGATTGGGCCTGTTAAGTCTTTTCCTATGAGTTAATTGAGAATTTTCTGAAAAGTGAAATCAAATCAAATTTTATTTTTATACCTTTTATGAATTTCTCCAAATGTTCTCTATTTTTTATAATCTATTATAACCATAGATATCTATTAATCAGTGTAAGTGCTAACATAAGAAATTTAAGAATGTATGCTGTCTTGTATAAATTTTTGAATATGAATTATACCAAAAAGTTAGTAAGCTAAAAATAGTACCTTTGTGGTTAAGAGCAAGGGAGCTTGAAGTTTAAGTTTTTGTAACAGATGTGAATTGCTGTTATTTAAAAAACTGACTTGGAGGGGCGCCTGGGTGGCTCAGTCAGTTGAGTGACCGACTTCAGCTCAGGTCATGATCTTACGGTTTGTGAGTTCAAGCCCGACGTTGGGCTCTGTGCTGACAGCTCAGAGCCTGGAGCCTGTTTCGGATTCTGTGTCTCCCTCTCTCTCTGCCCCTCCCCCACTCATGCTCTCTCTCTGTCTCAGAAATAAACATTAAAAATTTCTTTTTAAAAACTGTCTTGGAAATATACTTAGCTACAGGCCTATTTAGACCTAAATTAATCTTTTAACTTTTTATTGTAGTATGTATAATTTAGTTGATGAGAAAAATAACCCATTAAGAATAAGGTTATTAAATGTAATTGATGATTTCTTTTCAATGTAATACCTTTCCCCTTTCATATTTTAGCATCAAGAATACTTTATAGCACAATTATAACTATTATAAATGTCAAAGAAATTTAAGAGTTTATTCATAATAACACAAATGTTCTTTTTTTTTTTAACTTTTGAATTAGATCATAGAAAATTCTGTACTATCCATTGCACTGGTTACTTGAGAAGCTGGCCTCCAAATATTGTTGGAATGGAAGAAGAAAAGGACAGTAAGAAAGACAGTAGTAATTTTACCTGCCTTGTTGCCATTGGAAGGTTACATCCATATATTGTACCACAGAACAGTGGAGAGATTAAAGTGAAACCAACTGAATTTATAACCCGGTTTGCAATGAATGGGAAGTTTGTCTATGTGGACCAAAGGTGAACATTTATTTATTGCCATAATGATTAGCATTCAATGGGATACTTAAGGCTTCAGAACAGGAAATAAGTTTAAATGAAAAAAGAATGTGGATATGTGCAGAATTTTGTTCAAGTCAAAAAATAAACTTGGAATATTTCTGAGCCAGTGGTGCAGAAACTGAGCATGGTCTGTGGCCACAATTTTATTGGTGAATGGTAAAAAGAGTCTACCCTGGGCTGGGGGGGATGTCCATTCTAGCCTGGGTCTGGGGCAGCCAAAGGGGGGGCCCGGTGATGCATATGGCTTACTCATCCCCTGTCACTTTCCCACTATTGTGACTGTATGTGGACCTACAGTACTCTGGAAGGGAATGAATTTACCAATCTGAAGTTTATTTTTGATTTTAAAACCAGGGCAACAGCAATTTTAGGATACCTGCCTCAGGAACTTTTGGGAACTTCTTGTTATGAATATTTTCATCAGGATGACCATAGTAATTTGACTGACAAGCACAAAGCAGGTAGGCATTGAGTAGGGTAATTTTTTGGTACTTTTTAATTACAGCTTCAACTCATTTTTCATTCCTGTGAAATCTGAAACTTGAATTAACCCTCAAGGGATTGATTTATGTAGTAGACCGTTATGCTGATTATTATCCTTTCTTGTTAAGTTCTACAGAGTGAAGAGAAAATCTTTACAGATTCATACAAGTTCAGAAAGAAAGATGGCTCTTTTGTAACTTTAAAAAGCCAGTGGTTTAGTTTCACAAATCCTTGGACCAAAGAACTGGAATATATTGTGTCTGTCAACAATTTAGTTTTGTAAGTAACTTTTATGTTGTTAAGACCTTTATGTTGATTTCAAATAAGTGTCATGTCTTTTCTTGTCTTGCTAAACCATTAAAGTTGCATGATCATCTGGCTTTATAACTTCAGTACATACTTTTTGTAATTCATTCACTGTTGACTGGCGTTACTTCTCAGAATTAGGCTGAAAGTTTTCCCTTTTGGAATACATTTCTTTTTGCTTGGTATAAAATGTGATAATAAATGCATTTAAGTACTTTCTTCCTACCTTTCATGGCCTTGTCATGACCTTCCAATAAATGATGTGGTTGTAGCTTTAAACTATATATCATCGTAAGAAATTGTTTTGTCCCACGGATCATTTTTATAGACATCTTCTAAGCCTGAGGTATTACATGTGATTGTGTAGGAATATTTGGCCGAGGGATAAGAACAAATCCAGCCTAAGCACTGCTTGCCAAACCCTGGCTAGGTCTGTGTCAGCTAACTTAAAGGAAGAACAACTTTCCCTGCTTTGCTTAATAGGATAGCATAGCCCATTTTAAGTATGATTATTTTTCTGTAAGTTTTTCATTGTAATTGCTGTAACATTAACCCAATTCTGTTTCCTGATCTACTATATTTAGGTTTTTATTTTATTTTTTTTTTTTCAACGTTTATTTTTATTTTTGGGACAGAGAGACAGAGCATGAATGGGGGAGGGGCAGAGAGAGAGGGAGACACAGAATCGGAAGCAGGCTCCAGGTTCTGAGCCATCAGCCCAGAGCCCGACGCGGGGCTCGAACTCACGGACCGCGAGATCGTGACCTGGCTGAAGTCGGACGCTTAACCGACTGCGCCACCCAGGCGCCCCATATTTAGGTTTTTAAAAGGCCCCCAAAGCTTGGCATTCCAGCACTATCCCGTTTATCATTCCAATAATTCTTGCCTTCTTATCATTAGTATACAAACTGAGAGTTTGTGACTGAGAAAATGTACCTTATAGGGTAATAAGACATTTAGCAAATGTCCTGGTACTTAGCACATAAATACTTTGATCTCTGGTGGTGACATTAACAATAAGTATATATAAAACAAAAAGGTCAAGAACTGATAAAGCCACTACATTGAAGCTCTGCTTATTTAACAATTTCCTTCACCTAAAAAAAAAATCACCTATGGTGTTTCTTCATTCTAGGGGACATAGTGAGGTTAGAGAAGCATCGTTACTTCCTTGCAGCTCTCAATTATCAGAAGGTAAGCTTGGTTTTAAATGATGGGGATTTATTACTAGGAGTGTTGTTATTGTCCATCTTTTTCTGTCTTGGAGAGGGAAAGATTTCAAGGTAATACTGCAAAGACTTGTAGGGCTAAAGTTATCCTCTTTAGAATTTCTACAATTCTTTGATTACCCTTCCATTATACTCTTACACTCTATTGCAATTAGTTGTTTGTTCATCTGGTCTGCCCCTAGATCGAGTTCTTCGAGAGTAGGAATGGTATTTTATCCATTATCTATCTAGTGGCTAGCATAGTTCCTTGTAGTTTGTGGCACTCAATACATATCTGTTGAGCAAATTAATGAAAAGTATTAATGGGGAGTTTTTGCTTATCTTGGTTTTTCACCACAGGAATATTTTATTCTATTACTTATATAAATAAAAACAGAAATATGAAGGAATATTAAAAATAAAGCAGTATTACTCTGGCTTCAGTGTGGAGATTAAAATGGGAAGGAACTGTCTGTGCTCAAGGGTTACAGGTCATGATTATACCCTCAATGATGTTCTACACATTTGACTCCTGTCATTCTTCATACACGTCTTAAGCCATCATGAGTTATGTTTGTAATGCAAGCATAAATATTTCTAATATTTTAGGATGTAGCTAGTCCGTTTCTTTTAAAAAGGAAAATGGGAAATGTATTTGAATTGAGATAAAAATATTAACCAAAGTTATACATAACTTTTTAGAAGTCTTCAATTGGATTTTCCCTTTTGTTATTATTTAGAATCCTCAAAACCATCTTATATTAATGTACCTGGAATGTCTACTGGAATAGTACTTGGCCCTGGTAGTATTGGAACAGATCTTGTAAATGAAGTCCTGGACTTACAAAGGTAATGTTTTATTGCTGCAGATATCTTCACAAGTGAAATTATTATACTTATAAAACCAGTAGTCAAAAATCAGTAAGTTTCCTATATTCAAACAATAACCAGTTCAATAACATAATGGAAGAGAAGATCATTTTTATAGTAGCAACAAAAAAAGGTTAAGTATTATATGGGGCACCTGGGTGGCTCAGTTGGTTAAGCAGGCCAATTTCAGCTCAGGTCATGATCTCATGGTTTGTGGGTTCCAGCCCCATGTCAGAGCTCTGCTGTCGGAGCCTGCTTGGGATTCTCTCTCTCCCTCCTCTCTCTCTGCCCCTTCCCCCCCTCAAAATAAAGAAATAAACTTAAAAAAATAAAAACTATAAGAAGTGTATCAAGAACACAGGTATGGATTTTTATAATCTTAGTTTAGAAACTCCTTTCTAAACATCACAAAAAATCTATAATTCATAAAGAAAAAAGTTAATTATATAAAAACTCAAAACTTAGGCATAATAACCATTCTGAAAAAGGTAAATAATAAGTTGCAGAAAATGTGTGTTTCAGGTGATAAAATGAATATATCTTACTATAGAAGTTTGATAGTATAACATTATTAACTTCATTTAAACTTTATAAATAAACTTTATAACTTTATTAACCTTTATTTATATTAAAGTTTATATAGGGTATAAATAATAAAGTTATTAAAGAATTTTTTTAATTTTATTTTTTTTAACTGAAGTATAATTTTTTTTTCAATATATGAAATTTATTGTCAGATTGGTTTCCATACAACACCCAGTGCTCATCCCAAAAGGTGCCCTCCTCAATACCCATCACCCA